CCCGCATTGCCTGCAGCCCTAGACCCTTTTGACAAGGTCCTGCCAGAGCTCAGAGTCAGGAGGCCGACTGGTAGATTGAGGTAAGCTTTTTGAATGCCTGAACACGCAGTCTTCCATGCAGCAGCTATGCCATCCACTTGCGAAGCGAGAGCCCTGCGCGCCATTCCGGCTGCGCATCTTTTCCTTGAGTCCTGCTGCAAAGGACATCATCTAAGCGTTGTTATATCAATCATGGTTTTGTCACAGGTTTCAAGTTTACAGGGGTCTGGTTCCGGTACCATTGGCGTGTTCTGTAAATCCTGAAGGCTTTGGGCCAAAGCCGGTACCCAACAAATCTTTCAAAAGAGTTACCAATATTTCAGAGCGCCCCAGCCCAAGCGCTCTTTTGACGCAGGAGTCTTAAGAGTCACGTGGGGATCTCAGCGGATATTGCCACGTGGGAGCCTGTGTGTTTTGCGTGCATCCGTGTCGTTCGCAGACTGCTGGCATGAGCTGTCAGGACTATTGGACAGCAGGCCCACCTGTAGCCTGAAGCAAAGTCCTGTACGGGTGGACGCTCAAATCCCAAGCTGTCATTTCTGGTCGCGCTACCAGTCATGCTCAGATACTCGTACTGTACTGCGCCGCCCGACTTAGACCCATGTTTGCTCAGAACGTGACGAGACTCGATGGTCTGATCCCCGTGCAGCCCCTTTTGGTCATGATATAGCCTTCCACAAAAGAAACCTGCCCACTCCTCTTGGTGAAGTTTGTGAGGGCCGCCGGGGCGTGAGGTGGCTGGAGTGATGTTACGCACGGGAAAGGTGAGTGGTGACTGAAGCCCGTTCAGGCTACAAAGCTGAGACGTGAGAAGATGCAACCTCTGCGCAGCCCACTGGGTTCCTTGGAGTTGCCGCTGGGGCCGCACCGGACGGGAGGGGCCCATGACGACGCACCAAACCTGGATCCTATACGAGGGTCGTGCGGGGTTTGGTGCAAGAATACCTCCATGCTTCGAATCCACTGCCGGTGCCTGTAGACAGGGAGGCTTTTCGGTGTCCAGTCCAGAGCAGGCGGAGGCCATCGCTGGCTTTGACATGCTCTGTGTTAACTAGTTAACGCTCACACCCGCATTGCCTGCAGCCCTAGACCTTTTGAATGTCCCTTCTGAGCAGCTGGCCAACCCGTAACATGTGGCTCGCTCACACCCGTGCCACGGCCTGTGCATGACAGCGCCAGGAATGGGCATGGTTCGCGTTAGTTCCTTTTACATTTTGGATTGTGAAATTACCCTGGCTTGCTGATAATGATAGCGTTACCTTCGGATTTGACAGCTGCAACTGCACAAGGCTTGCTAGCGTGAGGTGAAGCGGCCGTGCAGCCGGACTCCCTCAGCGCGCGCCCAGAACTTTTCCCGACAGCCGTGCAACACCCTGGTGAGTTAGGCTTGCCTCGTTCCATTCCTGCCGTGCATTGTTCGTCGCATGCGCTAATCCAACCAGTGCAGACCCGTCGAACATGACCGCACTATCCCCACTTGCCCTTGACATGTTACATTTGATTTGGTAGTATGTAAGGCTGGGGGCGAGCAAGGTGTTCAGCTTTTAAGCAGCGTTCCTGTCAGAACTTGCAAGGGGTTGCCGCGCAGCATTGCTAATCTTCCGTACCGCGGCTCATGTCCATGCAGGTTTCACGGCGGATCCTGTGCACCTCGTTTGTTTCTGCTTGGCTTCCAGCTGGCCGGCGGTTTCAACAGGAGCGCGTCAAGGCCGCTTTCTCAAGCCATGGGTTGACTAGGACTAGATACACACACTGCGTAGCTGATCTTCCTTAAGTTGTTGCAGCCACTGAGCTGTAAGGGCCACAATCCTTTGGCGGCACGTGCTTGCGAGGTGGGATGTGCCAGCAGGTCAGCCGAGTCACGGGGTCAGATGTCCAAGCTTCCGCCGCGCTGCACCTTAGAAGCGTACCAAGAAGCAACTCCCAATTGCTGTTGATTCTGTGGTGGGCAATGGGGGGCTGTCGTCCTGCAGTGGTGACAGCCTCATTTAACAGCAGCAGACCTGATCAGAGGAAA